AATAGAACTAGTACTGAAAATATCTCAAAGAACATACCTAATTCTGAGAAATTCTACAGTGAATAGGTCTAACAGAGAATAGGCTCCGATGCATTCGATTCCTTTAGGTATTTGTAAGAAAAAGCTATTGGGTTACATGAAAAAAGGTATGGTGTGGTAACTCCATTGCCTAAACCTCTAAACAGAAAGTATTCTCTTGAATACTAAAAATAGCTGCTTTCATTGGGAGAATACAGTATATTATATTGGGAGAATATAGTATATTTTATTTGGAGTAGCTATATGTATGTTATTGTGTAGGAATATCTGATAAACTCAAAGGCGGTTTAAAGGGTTTTAACAGCACTACTATTGTTCTTTCTATCCCACATAGGAATCTAAATATATTTGTAGAATCGCCTATTTAAAGATCTTGACCCATTGATATTTCCCCTGGCTATTTGCGGCGCATTCAAATGCTTGCCACACACAAATACAAATACAAATTCAATTAGGTTGGAAAGTGGAAAACTTTTCCCTTTGTTCTAATAACATTTACATTTTTGCGGAGTGGTATGCCACTCGGAGCTCGGAGTTTACTCACCTGTTAAGTTGACCTAAGGGTTAAGGGTCGCACAACAATGCCAAGAACTTAAACTAAAAAAGGCACAAAGTTGATTTGAAGTTTACTAAATTCCAATTCAGGCAAACTTATGGCCAACAATCTGCTGGGGCCACCCAATAACTACAGCAGAGGGGGAGGGGGGCTCTCAATAATCTGATGGTTGATAGTTTTTCGCCGCCAAATGGGGCAGGGGAACTGGTCAAGGGTCATGCCCATATTCATCATCAATTTCAATTTGTTCATGTCAGAGTTGTGTTCGCATTTTGCAAATAACAAACAAATCGCTTTCAACATAAATGAAACATATGTTAAAAGCAGAAGACAACGAAGAAAATCGTAAACAGGAAGCTTTACAGGCAGGACATGCGAGCAGGAAGGACAATAAGAAGCAAGTAAGAACCCAAACACACAAACAGTACAAAAGTCAACAACATAGAGAACAACAAAATGACATAAAAAAAGAACACAAGAAAGAATATTAATTTTTCGATGGCCGAAGTGGGCGATACCCTTTCTGGAACGTTTTTAATGCAAGATTTTGCAGGATACGGCCCTATCGAATCAGCTGTTGGGGGATTCCTTTCATTCCTTGCTCAATCATTTTTCATTACAAAATCTACCTCCCCTTTGAGCTTCAAGGACGAAGGGTATAGGAGACACCCTAAACTTAAAACGTAGCTAACAAGCAAAGAAAAACAAGAAATCTTTAAGCTTCTTTTTGTACCACCCCTCCACCTCCTCCAATGCAATTTACTATACCCGACCTGAGCTCTCCCTCTCTCTCCCCCCATAATAATGAAATATCTATAAATTGTATGTAAGTTCCATCGTTAGAGAGACAGACGGAACGGGGAATCCTCTTTCTTGCTTTGGTGACCCTCTCTCCCGAGAGGGCCATAAATAATATTATTATGGGTTCCTCGAGGCAACTTGTATTTGTCAAAGCAAACAATACGTGTCTCTGTGTGTGTGTGTGTGTGTGTACTTGTTAACGGCATTATTATTGGCAGATATTATTCATGCAACAAGTGATGATGCTACTTGGGGGAGCGTCTAATTATGGCTAATTGAATTGGCTTAAGGTTCTGCGAATTGTCAATTGATTTGTGCTCTCCGGATTACGATTATTATAAAGCAGTATTAGTGAAAAATATTGATAGATTTATTGACATTGAGACAGCTATTGGAGGGCCAAAGGTTGAATAGAGGTGATCCCAAAAGGTATACGAACATTTTGTGATTGTTGATTATAAGAAGATTGTATGGGAACAGAACTATAATTCCATAGAACTAATTCCATAGTGCTTCATGAAACAGGGTTATTTCTTATAAGAAGTATGTAAGAGTATAGGTGTTAAGGGGTTTTCCCTATTCTGACTTAAGAATTATTGTATAATCCAACAGAAAACGATTATATTCCAGAAGTTCTAATACATTGTTTTGAAGTGACAAGACATAAACTTCGGCGATTCATTAGAGAGAAATATACCTTAAATCTTTCCCTAGAACTATTCTACCATCTCTGAAAGAGAGAAAAACATCTACAAGGAAGAGGCTACAGAAAATTTCTAGCCTCTGTGTGTCTTATGGAGATGCCAATAGATCATTGTCTTCAGTTCCGTCCTGGTATAATTTTATACGTCTTTCAACCTCAATAGAGGTGGACCAATAACTTAGCCTAATGTAGAACAGAAGGTTTGGTAGATTTTATAGAGCAATAGGCTACATAGACTACTTCATTTCTTCTTTCTTCATGGTTCTGTGAAGAACAGTGTAAAACTGAAATCAGTTTTGTTTTTTTTTTTTTTCGTATTAAATATTATGCGCACCATAAATATAAATTTAGCGACTTTCCACATTAAAAACTTCAAATATATTCCATTAAATAATATTAAAAACGCTTTTAATCAAATAAACATTTTCCAGCAACATTGAATTACCATTTTAAAACCCAAAAAATACACAAATCAAATAGTAGAAAACATTAGAGCGACCTTGGCGAAACCCTTAGTGACACACAAAAAACAAAAAACACGCAAAACAGATAACCCAAGCAACAACAATTTCTATATATTATATAGAGAGATATTTTTTGTATAGAAAAAACAAAAAAAACCCCCAATCCATGTGGTTTTTAATGAGCAATACCGACACACAAATGAGGTTAGAGGTTGAGACAAAATTGCAAAATACATGTAAAAATATAGGCTTAAAAACTACGATACTCCACTCGAGATGTACTCACATAAGACTCATGTATATAAAGGACATACACACAGATAGAGAGAGAGATTGAGTTAATGGAAGTTTTGATATCGATAATAGAGACCACAGAACCCACAAATAAAGCGAAACAATCACTTGGTTTATATATATATATTTTTTGTTTTCTTTTGACGATTTTTCTTGAGACGTTACGTTACGTTACACGCTACGAGACGTAATGACATAAGCGTAGGATTTATTTGTTTTGAAAAACTTTTGCGAAAACGACCACGACAATTACGATACTCGATTCAGAATTTTTGTTGCACATTTACTTAGAAAAAAAAAGGAATAATTTTGCCAAAATTATAAGACGATTAACGCAGACGAAAAAGACACAGAATTATATATATATATAGTATATAGAATTAGAGAGACGATCAGCAACGTTATCAAGACAACAGACTCTGACAAACTAAAAAAAAAAAAAACAGACACAGCCGAAGGGAAAACAAAAAACAAACACAAAAAATTAAATCAAATCAATGAAAATTACTTTCGACCGAGGCCGACACACAGAAAACAGTACTCGCTGATCGGTGATAATGCCCCTGATCGGCGATCGAATTAAGAGGCGGCAGGGCACACACACACACACACACACACACGCACACAGCTCGCGAGATAGAGAGATGCCGACAGAGAGAGAGAGAGTAGAAAAGAGCGAGAGCTTCCTCGGGGTATTTTCGAAATTTGATAAGACCCATTTCGAATCGATTGTTCAGTTTGTTGGCATTTAAGTTCGAAAAAAACAACAAAAACAACAGATGGGAAATCGAATGGAGATCAATGCAAGTGGCAGTGCCAGGGAGGAGTGGGGGAGTGTGTGGGGTGGGGGGGTCTTCTTATCAGTTTGAAGGGAGACCATATGCCTGTGTGGCTGGGTGTCACTTGATCTGCTTTAATCGATAGATGTCTTCTGGGGGACTACAGATTTTTTTGGTACTGACCTTTGCCAAGCGTTGGGGGTTTTGAATTTATTCGACTGTGAAGAAAATATCGTGAGCACAGGCCACACAAAATGAAACGTTTTTGAAACATTTGAATGCCACAAACGATTTAGAGAAGCAGGCCAGATCACAGACCAAAAGCAGGTGGAGGAGAGTATCTCGAACTGCAGAAAATCGAAAACCATGTGCAATTTCACTAAGAACCTGGCACGGTAGGACAGCAAAACTGCTAGTGGGAATACTCATAGGCCATTGAGTCGCAACAGAGGCAGAGATACAGGAAATACGATGAGCCTGGGGCTCACGAAACCCGAGAGCATCTCATCTGAAACTGCCTGATCCACTCAAGGGCAGGGAAAAGATACCTGTGCGGACCGGCGATGGCAACAAGAGGACGGCAATGGCACCACTTGCCTGGGCCAAAAACACATCGATTTTCGAGGATTTTCAAAACTCATAAGCACTTCCGCGACGATTCATCCTCCCCTCAAGCCTCTACAGGCGTCAAAAACCCTTCTCTTAGGTGGGTTGTTCCCTTAGGAACACGGGTATTGCTCAGTCTGGCCACAGTAGAATTAAACCCACTATTTAAACCCATCTAAAAATTTGTATAGCCCAAAAAAAGGCTCCCAGAAGTGCCTTTAAGGTGTAGAAATTCCCAATAAATTAATAAATCGATCAATAACTATTAATAAAGTAACACAAAGAGACACCCTTACTGGACTCCAATTCAATAAGCGTCTGTCAAAGGCCAAATATTTATCATAAATCTCCTAAATGATGTCTGCGACTTATCGTGGCATTTGTGGGCCAAACAAAACAAAATAAAACCAAGAAATAAACTACTTAAGCCCCCGGCCAAGCCAAAAGTAGACGAAGGAAAGTAAAAGTAATGCAATTCTTGCAGGTATTATCTGCCACACGTGCCCCTTGAGCCCAGACAACATGCCACTTCAGTGCCCAAACCACCCAAACCACCCACCAGCCACAATGCTTTCGTTGTCATTCATGCGACTCATGTCGAAAACATTTTCCAAATGAAAATCTTTTCCTTCTATTAATCCATTCAACCCGAAAACCCCCAACCCCAAAGGATACTCGGTGCGTGACAAATTTTGATAAAAAGCCAGAGACCAGAGACCAGAGACCAGGCCTGGAGCAGCAGCAGGAGAAAAATCAAGTTAAGAGGCTTGAAATATCTATTTTATGTTACGTTTGTAGGGAGAATCGGGAAAGAACCTTGGACGAGTCATTCTCTTCCACAAGCCTTGGGTGCACATGCCAATGCCACGCTTTTGGAGCCTGGTCTTGTGCGGCATTTGGAGCTCATCCTCGTTGTGCAGCATGGCACAGGCGCGGCACCAGAAGTGCGTGTTGATGAACTCCCCCGTGCCGCGCCACATGAAGTACGAGTTGTACAGATCGTCGTCCTTGTCGAGCACATTCAGGTAATCGGCCAGCTCCTTGGGCGACGAATACTCCTCCACGTGTATGTAGGAGTTTCGCGGCGCGAGTTCCTGGAAGTCTGCCGGCCGGGCACCCATCACAATGGGCAGCACCCCGCGGTCCAGGCCATACACAACGTACTTCTCCGAGATGTAGTCCTTGCAGTTGGCGTTCTCGAAGGCCAGGTAGAACTTGTAATCGTTTTCGAGCAGCTTGTAGCATTTATTTGGCGTCGATTGCGAGCATTTCAACTTGCCACAGACCCCATAGATGTCCACCTGTTGGCATAAACGAAAATTGGATCAGTTTTGGGGGGCAAGCGAGGAGGGGAGCGCCTGATGTACCTCGATGTACTTTTGCAGCTCCAGGGCATATTTGTATCTGCCATTTTCGGTATTGCAATTGGACACGAACCAGGCCACCTTCTTGGTTTTGTTCGCCGCATAGTTCCGGTCCTGCTTCTTCTGCTGGACGCTGGGGTCGTAGTACACCCACTTCACGTAGGGCGTCACGATGGTGCTGTCGCGCCTGAGAACAAAAGGAATACTCAAATATTTGGCGGCAAGGATGGACGGCGGGAAGCGTCACCTGTAGCTGGCCGTCCAGTTGATGGCGTCGGGCACGGACACATAGTTGGCCATGGAGTACAGCAGGCTGACCTGCTTGGGATTTTTGCTTTGTTTTTTCGTTTCCCTGGGCAGGTCCAAATAGAGGATCATGTCGGCAGTGCTGGCCGTAAAAATATCGTCGGTTATCTCGCATGTATCCACCGGACACTTGTGCTTCAGGAAGACATGGCGGCCCTTCATCACAGTCCACTTCCGCCTCCCCTGACCGTTAAAGGTGAGAAGGGTTTTCAGCTTGCCGCTGGCCTTGATCTCCGTGTAGTTGTGGGGCACGTACATCAGCTGGCTGACAATGCGGTCGTTGAGGGGCAGCTGGTCCGGTATAAACCTGGGAGCGAACGGGTAGCTTTCCAGCCGACTGCCGCGGGCCCTATGCGGCTGGGGATACAAAGCGCCATCCTTCATGTACCAGGGCCTGTTCGAGGACGGCTTCTGCCTGCGCCTAGCATCGAGTTTCGCCTTTCCGCTCACGACCTTCTTCTTCAGCTGGACCTCTCCCTCATCTTTCCTGGGGGTGGGGGCCACAATTGGTTTCTGTGTTGGCTAATAGCGACAGTCGTTTACTCACTTGGCGTTCAAACAAAACGTGAGCAGAAATGCGCAGATGAGTGTGAAAAAAATACACTTCTTGTACGATATTCGCATGGTGGAAGACAACACTAGTCCTTTGTACACTCGTTTATTCTCGGGGACATTCCTTTTGAAACACTGTTTTCGGCGCAATATTCACTAATGTAAAAAGAATTACTAAGCAATTTTGATGCTAACACGTTGACTTGTGGATTAACAATGAAATGAAATGGAATGAAATGTATTTGAACGAAGAAAATGTATTCCATGGCATTCTCTGGTCTGAGGAAATACGAGTAGAAAATGACACGCTGTTAATAGCACTAGAAAAATCCATTTGAAAGGTGGCATTCAGACCCTATGGCGCTGGAAAGAAGGCAGAGCCAGGTGGATTTCTACCTTCAGCAGCTACCTCAAGCGCTTCGGCCAGGAGGAAGAGACCGGGTGCCGAAGACCTGGAAAGCGGCAGCGGTGATGGTTCCTGGGGCCCCCCAGTCCTTCTGACAGTCCCCTGTCTAAGGTGCTCAGCGACGAAACCCTAGTGGATCCGAAGACCTGGAAAGCGGCAGCGGTGATGGTTCCTGGGGCCCCCCAGTCCTTCTGACAGTCCCCTGTCTAAGGTGCTCAGCGACGAAACCCTAGTGGATCCGAAGACCTGGAAAGCGGCAGCGGTGATGGTTCCTGGGGCCCCCCAGTCCTTCTGACAGTCCCCCTGTCTAAGGTGCTCTGCGCAGTTCTACATTTTACTTGTATGCAACACTGATCTGTCGTGGTGTGAACACTCTTTTGAGCCTGCTTCTACTTTAATTAAACTCAAATAAGGTCTTGCTCCGCCAGGAGACGGGAGAGCAAACCCCCGGGCCACGCCACCAATGGTTGTAGTCGCTGTAAAAGTGCGGCTCTCGGAGCTGCTCCTCGTTGTGCAGCATGGCACAGACGCGGCACCAGAAGTGCGTGTTGATGAACTCCCCCGTGCCCTTCCACTGGAAAAACGAGTTGTACAGATCGTCGTCATCATCGAGCACTTTCAGGTAATCGGCCAACTCTTTCGGCGAGGCAAAGTCATCCACGTGTATGTAGGAGTTAAGCGGCGCCAGTTCCTTGTAGTCCCCGGGCCGGGCACCCATCACAATGGGCAGCACCCCTCGATTCAGGGCATTCTGATGGTATTTCTCCGTGATGTAGTCCCTGCAGTTGGAGTTCTCGAAGGCCAGGTAGAACTTGTAATTGTTTTCGAGTAGCTTGAAGCATTTTTCTGGATTGAAACGATCGCACTTCAGCTTGCCACAGAAGCCGTAAATGTCCACCTGTTGGAGTAAAGGAAAACCAGATGAGTTGGGGGGGCAAGCGAGGAGGGGAGAGCATCTACCTCGATGTACTTTTGCAGCTCCAGGGCATATTTGAGTCGGCCATTTTCGGTATTGCAATTGGACACGAACCAGGCCACCTTCTTGGTTCTGTTCGCCGCATAGTTCCGGTCCTGCTTCTTCTGCTGGACCTTGGCGTCGAAGTAGACCCACTTCGAGTAGGGCGTCACGATGGTGCTGTCGCGTCTGGGGACAAAGAAATAATGGCTTAAGTCTATGACTGAAGGCAGAGATTGACTAATGGAAGCGTCACCTGTAGGTGGCCGTCCAGTTGATGCCGGTGGGCACCTTTGTGTTCTGTGTGTAAACGGGAGACTCGAGAAAGTAGAGCATCTTGATTTGCTTGGTGTTTTTGGCACGGATCTCACGCGCGGAACTGAGTTTTTTCGTGGGGACGTAGAGGTTCTTATAGAGGATCATGTCGGCTGTATGGGCTAGGCCCATATCGTCGGTTACTTCGCACGTATCCACCGGGCACTTGTCTTTCAGGAACAGATCGCGGCCCTTCTTCACATTCCACGTCCGCCGTCCGTTGTAGAGGAGAATGGTTTTCAGCCTGCCGCTGGCTTTGATCTTCGCGTAGTCGTGGGGCACGTACATCAGCTGGTTGACAATGCGGTCCTTATGTGGGTCCTGATGCGGCAGCAGCTTGGGTGCATCCCTCTGATTCTGTAGGCTGTGATTATTGTAGGCCCTTGACGGTGGGGGATAGTATTTGCCCTTCTTGAAGAACCAGGGGAGGCCAGAGGATGGCTCATCGTCGATTTTCTCTTCCTTTTCGAGTTTCTCTTCCTTGTCTATCTTCTCTTCCACCTTTGGCTTCTCCTGCTCGTGGTGATCCACGAATTCCTGCACCTTCCTCTCAAGATGTTGTGGGATCTCCACGTACGTTCGCGTTGAGAGGGTCTGCCATACCTCATATACCCTGGGAGATCAACTCGTTTGGTTCTACGTAGGAGCTAAATGCATCCATTACTCACTCAAGATTTAAACGGTATATGAGCAGAAGAGCGCAGATCAGCGTAAAACAAGTACACAATTTAAGCGATAAGTTTCGTGGGGCCATGCTTACCAATAATTTCAATTGAAAGACCAAAAATCGTAGCAAAAGGTATTTCCTGTAGGGTAGAATCGTTCTTAGACAAACGAAGCTTTGGCCCAAGATTTTAACGATCTATTTGGATCGGATGTGCATCATTGTAGCACAATTTGTGATTATTCTACCCAGGGAATCGCTCAATTAGGTACAAAGATAAACCATAAGTTGGATGACACTCTACCATGGCCTACAGCCATTCCCCAACTACGCTTAACAAGATCCTTTTTGAGAGTTCTACGTCTTTGTCATACCCTATACCCAGAGCTTACCATGGAATACTAAAATTTTGCAATTTTCCTCACCTAAAGTCGTTTTAATTTGAATAATTGTATTCCATAGTTAGCAGATAATTGTTAATTTTTTAAATAATTTTTCAAAGAGCTGTAAACTATACCGAAAACTGTGGCTTATAGTGTTGCTTAACTAAGAAGCTAAACAAAAATCTACTAATGTCGGGTTTCCTTTCGGATTCAGATCTGTTTTCATTGCAAACAGTCAATTCCTCCGCGTAAATTGTGTTGTGGGCAGATTCCAATAACTCATCTACTCTCAGAGCATAGCCAAACCCTCCCTAAAAGACAACAACTAACCCGTCGCTCTTTCTCTTTCTAACCCACACGCACTATAGCAGAGGAACACGCTCAACGCGCGCTCTCTTCTTCTTGTCGCTTTTGATCCTCTCTGAGCGAGTCGAGTCTCTCTGCCGACGCAGCAATGGGACAGGCGGCGAGCAAGAACAATCAAGAACAGCAATGCGACAGGCAGTGGACGACAACCAACGGTAGATCGCAAAGGCAAAGGAAGAATCGTAGTGAATTCTTGAACAGCAAGCAGACCAAAATACACTGAGAATAATATTAGGATCCGACACATACAAAATATATCAACAGTGGACAGGCAAATCTGCCCCATCATTAACACGACATGCATGTTGTTATTGAAATTCTCAGGCATTGCGTGTCGACCATCAATATTCCTCGATGGAAGCAGTTGCTGGCAAGAAAATGTCCACCGTTGATATACTATATATATAAAATCTGACAAATGTGACCCAAGAGATGTATCTGATAGACATACTTAACTTCTTTGAATTTGTTTGGAATTTTTAAATAACCCTATAATTTTGAATTGATTTTTAAACGACAATTAATTAAAAATTTGGATTTTTTGAGCACTAAATATTTGTAATGTTAACACGTCGACTTTCAGTAAAACAACAAAATCAAATGGAATACCATTTTGACTGATATTTCAACAACGAGTAAGTTTTAAAGGTGCTTCGCCTCTTGAAGTCTATCTTTTTGGAAATTTTCCCCGATCAATATAGACCACAAAATACCAACTCCTGGTGTTTTATTTCCCCAGCAAATGGGGAATCAATATTTATTGACCACAGAACACGAGTTAATAGCTTCAGTTACTGCCAACAACAACCGCAGACAACAAAAGATACAAGGTATCTCTGGTGTGGTGTGGAGGTGCCTGCCCCTCATGCCCTCATTCGATTCCTAATGACCGGCAATTTGCCAAACACCCAAGGCCCGGCCTGGGCCTCAAGCAACCATTTTAGAGTGTGGCAAAGAAATTAGCCAACATTTAGTGTAATGAGCATAATAATAGCAACTAATGGCCAGCGCCAGCGCCAGCGCCCGGCAAAGAAGCCACACCATTCGAACCGCCATTTGATTAAACAAAGATTGACTGAAGTGCGATTAACTTTCGAGATACAACGGAAAGTGTTATAAATGTGCTGCAATTTTTAGCGGGGAAACAGAGCCAAGGATACACATAGTAATAATACAGCAACAAACAATTCCAAGGCCATTCGAATTACTCAATTAATTCGGTCTCGGCCTGCCAATAATTACAAATAAGCACCCACCAGCGAGAGAAAACCTTCTTCTCTTTTTAATTATTTTCCTTCTGCTGCGAACGCATTTAATAAAGAATAATTACAAGGAATCCAACTAGCTCCATGAGGAGTGTGGGTGTGGGTGTTCGTGTGTGGGAAAAATAATTAACAAAACTGCCACAACAGCAGACCCAACAGCCAACAACCAACACCCACCACCCACCACACAGATGGCATTTAATTAACATATAAATTAAGGACTAATACAAATGGACGGTCCGATGAAATGATGATACACGTTTTCCGATTCCAGATAAGCAGAGCTTTATGCAGTTTAAAGCTTTCTTGTGACAATTATTTTGGTTAGAAAATTGGGAAATTGTGAGAGTGGATTGGACTACTACTGTCAATATTATGACAGGTGCGCTATTTATATTTTATTTTTTTTTAAGATATGCCTCATAGTACAGAGGCATTGTGACATTTTGTTTTTGATTGTAAGACCACTATTTAAGAGGGAGGGATTTTAATAATTCATTGAATTCCACAGTTCTTGGTGCACTCATGTCTATAATGCACATCAATGTACCCTAGAAAGGTGTATATTGCGCCCTACTGACTTCTAGTAGGTCTTTTAGAACCGGTGCTGCACTAGCTACCAGGTATGTAGAATGTATTTCAGCGGAGAATTTAACAAAGGCATGTTCTAGTACGGAAACCACCCTGGTACCCCATCGATTCACTTTGATTCTCTTTCGATTCCCCTTCAGGTCTTCTTCGATTATCCCTCGATTCCCCTTAGATTCTCCATAGATTTTTCTTAGATACTCCTTAAATTCTCCTAAGATACTAAGATACTCCTTAGATTCTCCTTAAATTCTCCTAATATACTCCTTAGATACTTCTTAGATACTCCTTATATACTCCTTAGATTCTCCTTAAATTCTTCTTAAATTCTCCTAAGATACTTCTTAGATACTCCTCAGATACTGCTTAGATACTCCCTAGATTCTCCTGAGGTTCTTCGATCTAAGGTCTAAGATACTGCTTCAATTCCCCTTCGATTACCAGTAGCTAGTTGCTCAGGAGCTAGTTCGGATCTAGTTACCAGTAGATCGGCAGCAACTGGTTCCCGATCGACTCCGCTTCGATTACCAGTAGCTACTTGCAGCTGGCTATGACCTAGTGGCCAGTGCACTGCAGTGCAACGCCAGTAACTAGTTCCCCACTGACTACCGGTATTCAATCCGGAACTAGTTCAAATAAATACAACAAAAATTCGAATTGTTGTCATAAAAATGTATAATATTATAACGAATGGGCACATTATGTAGCCTGACTATTGGATCACGCCGGATCCATGATTCCAAAGATATAGCACATTTACTTATGTTATGTTACTTATGTTAAACCTCGTCTATTAAGCGTCTCTGTACGTCCCAGTTTGATGCCCTTAAAAATATATTCATTGCAATTTACTAATAAAAACATTTGAATGCAATTATTAGGCCCCGACCACGGAAATAACCATGCATTTAATTAACTGAATTCACAAATTTGAATATTGGAAAATGAAAACAAAATAAATAAATAATAAAGCTATTAGCAAAACAAAAAGGGAAATGGTTAAGGGAACCGCGAATTTGAATCGATTTCCGTTGCTGCAATTTAAAATCAGAGGAAAACAAAGGGGCGGGAAAAAAAATCAACCATTCATTTGACAGCCACGCACGCAGTTGGAACCAATTTTCGTCAAATTAGTGAATATTTTGTAGTTCAAAAGGGTTTGAAAATGGAAATGGAAATGGAGCTGGCTTGCTGTCAGTTTGGTTTAAAAAGAGATGGACAAGAGAAATGGCACATAAAATAAAACACACACACACACAGAGATCTCCGCCCACGAGAATCATTTATTTGCAAAGCGCACCGCACATTCGTAAAATCGTCCAGTGCATTGTTTTATGTCAGCTTCATCAGCATCAACATCGGCATCAGCATCAGCAGCAGCGGCACTAGAAAGCGAACTGGGGCATCCATCGAATGGAGAATTCAATTGTGTTGCACAGCACAGCGCAGCATGCCGTATGCCGCATGCAGCATGCATGCCGCAGCCAGACAGCCAGCCAGCAGTACTCGTTAAATCAAGAAAAACTACAAGAAAAGGGTAAATCGAATTCGGAACGCTCTTTAAAATCTTTATACCTCTCTATATCTCTCTATATCTCTCTATATCCCTCTAGGATCCCTCTAGATCCTCTATATAGATCCCTATATATTCCTATATATCTCTCTACATCTCTCTATATAACTCTCTATATATCTCTCTATATATCTCTCTATATATCTCTCTATATATCTCTCTATATATCTCTCTATATATCTCTCTATATATCTCTCTATATATCTCTCTATATATCTCTCTATATATCTCTCTATACATCTCTCTCTACATCTCTCTATACATCTCTCTATACATCTCTCTATATCACTCTATATATCTCTATATCTCTATATCGCTCTTTATCTCTCTAGATCTCTCTAGATCTCTCTAGATCTCTCTAGATCTCTCTAGATCTCTCTAGATCTCTCTAGATCTCTCTAGATCTCTCTAGATCTCTCTAGATCTCTCTAGATATCTCTATATCATTATAAAGATCGTCACCAGACCATAAATACCTTTCGAATTCGATTCAGCAATGCTTAAGTTTTCCCTTACTTTTGTGTTTTCCATTTTAGTAAATTTTTGTCATCGATACTTTGAATTTTCTGATGCCCTTCGATTCTTCAGTTTTACTTCACGTTTTTCGATTTTTAAACCGTATAAATAGTACCAAGATATTGCATCGGAAACAAATTTCATATACATTTTCATTCTAAGGGACTTACTTTTCGGTCCCAAAAACCCAACAACAAAATACAGTCTTTGGCGATAGAGTTCTCCTTCGCCGCAGACTTTTTCTAAACTACTTCTAAAATATTCAGAAGAGCCTTTGGTGCGTTCCATTTTTTGTTCCCCTTTTTGAATACCACGGATAAAGCTCCCTAAGTGGCTTTCGTTTTCCCCTTCGTCACAAACACAATCGAAAAGTCTTAATATCCTTCCATCAGAAGCAACAATCGCATAGATCTGTTGGACGCCAGAAACCACCATCAG